AACTTAATCTGGTTACCCTTCACCATCTGACTTCATCTTCTAGTATTCACTCCTCTCTAGCCACACTGGCCTTCTTACTATTCCCCAGACATAGCAGACATGCTTCTACTGTTGGGCCTTTAAACTAGCTGTTTCTTCTGCCAAGATTGCTTTTTTTCCAGAAATCTGAATAACTGACTTCTTCACTTCCTTCAAATCTTTTGTTAACTTATTAATGATTCCTAGCTTTAACTCTGCCAGCACACCTGATATCCCTTTCCCTGCTTTTCTTTTTCTGCCGTACTTAGTACCTTCTAATGTACAATGACATTTACTTATTTATCATTTGTTTTCCATCTCTTCTAAGAAAATAAGATCCATGAAGGTAAGGATCTTTGTTTTATGATATTGAAAGCATCTAGAACAGTACCTGGCACCTGGTAAATATTTGTTCAATAAATGTTCTCGAATGAAGTAGCTATAAGAATGGAGACTATTTCAGTATGTGTATTATTCATACTGGCATAAAATTATAACTGGGTACAGCCATATCAATAATTCCTCTTTCTCTGAGATTTATCTTGCTGATTTTCTTATAATTCTAATCATTTATCCTCAAGTTTCTGTATGAGGAGGAATGATTCAGTTCAGTTTCAGTTTCTCTTCTTGCACACTTCAAAAGTACAAAAGCCAATTTTCTTGTGGGTTTTATTTGCTATTAAATACACATATTTTACTTTACAGATATACTTTCATAAATGACCTTTTGGTACTCAATAGAGGAGACATTTTTTCTTATTATTACTTTTCAGACTGGGAACCAATATGTGAGACTGAAGAATTAACCCCAAAGCAGGACCTTTTTAAAGAACAACAGTCCCAGAAAATAATAGAAAAACTTACAAGCTATGGCCTTGAGTACTCCAGTTTGAGAGAAGAGTGGAAATGTGAGGGCCATTTTGAGAGGCAACCAGGGAATCAGAAGGCATGTTTCAAGGAAGAGATAATCATTCATGAAGAAGCCCTTGTTGATGAAACAGAACAAGAATATAACAAATCTTGGGGAAGTTTTCATCATCAGAACACACTGCTTCATACACAACAGATCATCCCCAAAGAGGAGAAAATATATAAACATGACACACATAAGAAAAGCTTTAAAAAAAATTTAATGACCATTAAGCCCAAGAGTGTCTGTGCAGAGAAGAGACTTTTGAAATGTAAAGACTGTGAAAAAGTCTTCAGCCAGAGTTCATCCCTTACTCTTCATCAAAGAATTCATACTGGAGAGAAACCCTATAAATGTGGGGAATGTGGAAAAGCTTTCAGCCAGAGATCAAATCTTGTTCAACATCAGCGGATTCATACTGGGGAGAAACCCTATGAATGTAAGGAATGTAGGAAAGCCTTCAGTCAGAATGCACATTTAGTTCAACATCTGAGAGTTCATACTGGAGAAAAACCTTATGAATGTAAGGTATGTAGGAAAGCCTTCAGCCAGTTTGCCTACCTTGCTCAACATCAGAGAGTGCATACTGGAGAGAAACCCTATGAATGTATTGAATGTGGGAAAGCATTTAGCAATAGATCATCCATTGCTCAACACCAGAGAGTTCATACTGGAGAAAAACCTTATGAATGTAATGTCTGTGGGAAAGCATTTAGCCTTCGTGCATACCTTACTGTACATCAGAGAATACATACTGGGGAGAGACCCTATGAGTGTAAGGAATGTGGGAAGGCCTTCAGCCAGAATTCACACCTTGCTCAACATCAGAGAATCCATACTGGAGAAAAACCTTATAAATGTCAGGAATGTAGGAAAGCCTTCAGCCAGATTGCTTACCTTGCTCAACATCAAAGAGTTCATACGGGAGAGAAGCCCTATGAATGTATTAAATGTGGGAAGGCTTTTAGCAATGACTCATCCCTTACTCAACATCAGAGAGTTCATACCGGAGAAAAACCTTATGAATGTAATGTTTGTGGAAAGGCTTTTAGTTACTGTGGATCCCTTGCCCAACATCAGAGAATACATACTGGAGAGAGACCCTATGAATGCAGGGAATGCAAGAAAACCTTCAGGCAACATGCACACCTTGCTCATCATCAGAGAATTCACATTGGGGAGTCACTGTCACCACCCAATCCAGTCAATCACCAAGTCCTGTAGATTCTATCTCCTAAATATTTCTAGAATTTATACTCTTCTCTATTTTTAATGTTGTCGCCCTAGTCTATGACTCTTCTCAACTAGATCACTGATAAAGCTTTCTAACAGGTCTTCCTATATGCATTTTTGCTACCCTTAAATCCATTTCCCACAATGCACTCCAACTGATCTTTTTAAAGTATAAGAATATGCACATTACTGTCTCCAGGTAAAACTTTTTTTGCTTGCAATTGTTCTCAGACTAACATCCAAAGCCTTGAAAATTGTCTACGAGGCTCTCTGTATGTGGTTCTTACACACCATTCAGCCTTATTTTATTCCAGTCTCCTTCTTTGAGTACTAGGCACTTCCCAGTGCTGAGAGCTAGACTCTGGAAAATCATAGCTCTATCATTACTATCGCATTATGTGACTTTGAGCAACTTGCTTGACTTATCTAAACCTCAGGGTTTTCTTTAATTCTTAAAATAGAGATAATAAAGGATACTGTACTGTAGATGTGATTATTAAATGAAATAGTGTCTGTCGTAGATTGATGCATATTAAATGAGAAATTTGCATGTAAAGTACTTCACATGGTATATCAAATATAGCAGATATTCAATAAATAATAATAGCTAAGATGTATAGAGTGCCTACTATCCACCAGGCACTGTCCTACATACTCAACATATATTAACTCATTTATTCCTCACAGCTAAAACAAGATTCTTTATTGGGTAATGGAAAGCATCCCAGGGAAGCACCAGATCAGAATTGGGAAAACCTAATTATTTTAGAACATAAGTGGGAGTCTTAGTACTCTAGGTGAGTAATTGATGTAGATATAGGTAGTAGAACCATAACACTTATTACCAGTTTTAGGAAGTTTCTCAGGAGAATGAATTGGATAAACCAGTTAAAATAAGGAAAATATAATTCACTGGGAAGAACACAAAACTTACATTTAGATCAAGGGAGGAATAGAAATGACCACAATTAACTAAAAAACCAATTAACATAGAAATGTATAAGGTTCCATAAAAAGGCACCAGACCTAGGTAATCATATGGGTGAGTTCAGGTAATTTTGAGAGCATGTAAATTGTTCCATACTATAGAAAAAAAATGTAAAGTTTCTAAGTTTTTTTATCCAGTGATTGTAAAATTGAAATCAAAAGGGGATTGAGGTAAGAAAACCATAGGTACAGGCTTTCATTCATTTGGTGAATATTGAGTAGCTACTATTTGCCAGACACTGTTTTAGGTATGAGGCAACAATGGGCAGTACAAAGACTACATTCTCATGGAGTTAAATCCCAGAGGCTGAGACAGTTAAATTAATAAAACATAAAACAATAGATTTTCTAAACCCAGAAAACAGAAGAATAACTAAATCTAGGAGCATCATATAGCCTAGGCTGAAGAGACTCAATAAGTTGGCAGTTCTTCCTGATTCACAAATTCACTGCATTTCCAACCACAATTCTTTAGTGGACCATTTTGCCCTTTTATTTCACAAGTTTGTTCTGAAATTCATTTATGAAGTGTAAATTCTTAAAAGGAGCAAAAAAAATTATCAAATCTTATATATTTGTAGAAACTTTACATATAATAATGATGACTCACACCAGTAGAGAAAGGTTGGATTTGGGATTATTAGAAAAATTGTATGCATCACTAATAGTAAGGGAAGTGTAACATAAAAACAATAAACTATTGGCAAAATCATCATAGTACCAATTACTGGAAAGATATGGAGCAATAGGAACATTCATATAGTGCTATTGGAAGTAGTCATATTTAGCATAATTTAGCAATATCTAGGAAAGTCGAAGGTATGAATACTCTTATTTTCATTATTTATTTATTTATTTATTTTAGAGACAGGGTCTCACTATCTTGCCCAGGCTGGAGTGTAGTAGTGTGATCGTAGCTCACTGCAGCCTCAAACTTTTGGGCTTTAAACAATCCTCCCTCCTCAGCCTCCCCAGTAGCTGATGCTACAAGTATACACCACCATGCCCAGCTAATTTTTCGAATTTGGCACAGATGGGGTTTTGCTATGTTGCCCAGGCTGGTCTTGAATTCCTGATCTCAAGCAATGCTCCTACCTCACCCTTCCAAAGTGCTGGGAGTACAGGCTTGAGCCACCACACCCAGGCATGTGTCATCTTTTGACCCAGCAATTCCATACTTAAGTCTTTCTGTGGTCTCTATTCATGTTTCAGACAGATGTATATTATGGTCCACTGTAGCATTGTTTGTGAGCATAAAAAGTTGAAAGCAATCTAAATAACTACTAGTCTGAATAAAAGCTAGAATGCAAATTAAAAGGAATAACTAGAGATACTTCTAC